TTGTTTTTTTAAGATTTTACTTATTTGAGAGAGAGAGTGAGAGAGAGAACACAAGAGGGGCAGAGGGAGAGGGATAGGCAGACTCCCTGTTGAGCAAGGAGCCCAATGCAGGGCTGGATCCCAGGACCCTGAGATCATGACCTGAGCTGAAGGCAGATGCTTAACTGACCGAGCCTCTCAGGCATCCCAGTGCTTAACAAGTTCTTATTGGAGGACATGTATGAATACCTACTATGAAAAAGTTATTGCCTCTGCTTACGCTATACCGAGTTAATGAACACGTTATACATACAGGTGGCATAGCGTCTAGCCATCACTCATAGGCAGCTATCTATGGTAGATAGAGTGTTATCCAATAAAGCAAAGAATGAACTGTTCATATAAATAGTACTTTATGGGAACCAGTATATAGGGTTGTGGTTATCCCGAAGTTACAATCATGTAGTGAATTGGAATACACTCAGTATATAACACTATTTTTCCTGCCCTTTGCCTATCTATGCTACCTCTTCTACTCAACTTCCTCGGGGTCGTGGGGGGAGCCCCCGCTTTGCTGGTTATTTGTAAAACTGCTTATCCTGCGGGCTTTTTTTTTTTTTTTTGGTTTGTTTACAAAAATGAAAAAAAAGGTCATTTCAGTGTATAGGAGAACTCTGTGTTCTTGAAGGAGAGATTCATGCTGCCAATGACTTACATAATCTATTTTGTTTTTCATGTGCATCGAAGGGCGTTCGCATCTATATATTCTTGTGTGCAAATGCAGGGGATCTGAAACTATTCTCTGTGATTGTTTGGATTGTTAATCTCTCCAGGGTTTCCTCAACATTCTCCAAGGCAGTTTCTGGCACCAAGGGGAAAATGGAGAAGTTGAGATGCAATTTTATCTCCCAATTGAACTTGATTAAATGGGCACTGTTCTAATCAAAAGTTTGAATCCTAGGGGAGTGCAGTGTTGTTAACGGGTTTGAGAATATTCGAGAAGAACAGGGAAGAAGAGTATTAAAGTCACGGAGGAGAAGGAAGCAGGCAAGAAAACAATGGTAGTAAAGCTTATTAAGGCATAAAATTAGGTGAACAAATTGCTTCACAGATAGTGTTAAGCTCATTGCTAGACTGGCAAAGGAAGTGGAAGAAAGCTCTTTGAAAACATTATTTTTATTATTTTAATAATTTGTGTAGGATTCATGGTAGCTGCAATCTGTCAGCCCGAAACAATTGCCAGCTGGTGTCATTGTGGAGTAACTTCAGCAGGCTGAATGCAAACATGTTTTTCTTTTTACCTGGAGAGCATTCAGTTTTATAAGGTTTCTATTCATTTTCACCTGAATGTGAGGTCTGCCCTTGTAGAAGGAAACCTGTTTATTGCGTGATTTAAGAGCTTCGATTAGGTTCACGACAACTTCCACAACCGTAATAGGGAGACCATATCTGGGACAGACAGTGTTTATACAACTAATGTCAACTCTCGTTAAAAATTAATTTTGGGGGTTGTTGCCTGGGTGGCTCAGTTGGTTAAGGGTCCAACTCTTGATTTCAGCTGAGGTCATGATCTCAGGGTCCTGGGATGGAGCCCTTCATCAGGAGAAGGGAATCTGTTTGGGATTCTCTTTCCCTCTGTCCCTCCCCACTGCACGAGCTCTCTCTCTCTCTAATAAAAATAATACATCTTGGGGCGCCTGGGTGGCTCAGTGGGTTAAGCCTCTGCTTTGGCTCAGGTCATGATCCTGGGGTCCTGGAATCGAGCCCCGCATCGGGCTCTCTGCTCAGCCAGGAGCCTGCTTCCTCCTCTCTCTCTCTGCCTGCCTCTGCCTACCGTGATCTCTCTTTGTCAAATAAATAAATAAAATCTTAAAAAAAAATAAATCTTAAAAAAAAGGAGGAGTACTTGGGTACATGCTTGAATTGTCTGTGCAATTGCTTGATTCTATGCATTGCTTTCCTTGTGGTTACCTCGAGGAAATGGCACTCCATTAGTTATTTTACTGAAAGCAAAAGCAGGTTTTTAGGATAATGTACTTTGAAAAGGGTTAAAGTGCACTTATTTATGGAAATATCCATTTTGTTAGTAACATAACTATGATATTTGTTTGTCATCATAGTTTCTTCTGAAAGTCTCCCAAATAATGTCTTTTAACAATGATATACTCATGTTAAGAGTGTTATTGTCTTTCCCCTGTTTATCTGGAAACTGACAGAGTAGGTGCCCAGATACTCCAAGAAGTAGAGATCACTCAGCTTTGCCTATAAAGCCAGAGGGAGAGGGAAAATAATTTAATTGTTCTATTTCAATTCCATTGTCTCTTAATGCATCTTGACTCAAAGGGTCTCAAGAGGAGAGAAAGGAAATTATGGGTTCTTTTGATGTTGTTCGTTGAGTTCCTTCAATGGTGATTTGAATGTATTTCAGGGATGTTAGTGTTGCTAATCCTGTCTCTGCTTTCTCCTGGTTGTCCTTGGTTCCCTCTCCTCATCTCTGAAATGGGATATTATACTTCTCTTATTTCCTTAGAACGTTGTTCTGAGGGCAAATGAGATAACATCTAGAAAGTGCTTTCTACTCTATAAATTGCCGAAGCACTCAGCTTATACATTTGGGTAGCTAACAAGGTTATACTTATCCATGTGATATCAAGTGACTTTATAGGAAATGAGAAACTTCTCAAAGTAATATAAAAAAGGATAATGAATTTTTACTTTGGTAAAGGAGAGGTGTATCTTTTAAAATAAGTAATACCATTCACCAGATGCATTCAGGAAATAATAAACGTTGAGTTTTATCTATTTTATTTATTTTTGATTTTTATTTTTTGTCCTATCACAATTTCTTTCTTTGGAGAGTAGTGTGATGCCATTAATAGGATTGTAAACTTCAAGTGAGAGAAAAATAAATAGATTAAGTAAGCTTTAAAGAAGCTGATTCATCTTGCTCAACACCTTTTTTACTAATATAAGCTCATACAGTATCAGGAAGGACACTGTTTGTGGTTGTTTATAGAGTTGAAAAGAGGAAAGGAAGCAGAGGCGGGAAGCTTTGTTGAGAAAAATCCCACCTGTCTAGAACAATAAAAATAACTTCCTATGGGAAAGAGTTAGCATCCCTGAAAGAGATCTAGATCTTAACTAATGGGTCGAAGGGGACAGCCTGACAAATGGAAGAGATCAGTACAGTGTCTCAAGAAAAGACAAGTACTGCACAGATCCATAAAGAGGCCAGGTGGGAAGGCTGACTGCTCTGAAGGCCTGGGATACCAGGGTAGCCGGGAGGGGCACGATGACCTGGGCAAGGGGATCGAATTGCATTGTTTCCCTCTTCAACACACTGTCTCTCTCTACTTGGATCAAGCAAGTAGAGGGATCGTGAAGGGGCAGTTACTGCCATTTGGTGGTACATCCATTCATTACCTGAAAAACAAAAACTGTTATTAAACAAAGATTTGGTTCTCGTGCAAATGCAAACTTTAGATGTTTGAAAAATAAAGTTAAAAAAATCTGCACATAAACAAGAGCTTCTTTAGCTTATGAAATAGAGGTAAAAGTAGGTCTTATTGTCCGCATGAGATGTGGGGTAAGGGGTGAGTCTTGCCCATTTAAGAATTCAATGTGTATTAGTAACATGAATTTTAAGAGGTGACCCCTAAGCTCTCTTGCATTGGAATTCCATACTGCAAGGTTGTGGGCTGGTGGGTCTGGAAGAAATGAAGGGTCTGTTCAACAAAGACCCTGATGGCAGGTGCCTGGTGGATCATTGATGGATGGATGCCGGCTGAGTAAAATTGTAGAGTCGAACACTCCAAGTTTGTAGTTAAGGAGGGACCGGAGTAAAACTTGAGCAACAGTTAGAACGTCTTGGGTGGAAATTAAAAGCAGTCTGGAGCCAATTCCTCCAGCCAGCTCGAGTGCAGTCCTGTGTAGGTGAGTCTGCCCAGCGGTGTGCGAGCGTTCTCCCTGCACAGAGGCCGGCCAGATTTGCGTCCATCTCAGAAAGAGAAAGCTGCGGATTTAAAGGTCTCGGATCCCTGCTCGCTCTCCTCCGAGCCTCTCTCCTTGCTCCGCCTTTGCCTCTCTCCCAAATATCTCCTCGCCCTGGGCTGAAGGGATTCCCACCCCCAGCTGCCTGCTCCGAGCCCCGCGGAGCAGCGGACTCCTCCCCTGGAAACTCCTCCGGGGCCGGGGAAGGCTTTGGCGCATGCTCCGTACCTAGGGCAGGTTTTTGCTGCGGGTAGCAGGGCTCCTGTCACACCGGCTGGTGGGTTGTGGCGGTGCCAGCCACTGTGTGCGAGTGTGCCTGCGTGCCCGCGCCTGGGCGGACCGACCCGGAGCAGCAGTGCGACTCTTCCCTGGGAGGCGGCTCCGCACAGGCGCCTCGCCCGCAGCCGCCGCGGAGGCTCCTCTGCAAACTTGCGGGCAGGCGCTGTCTGCCCTCGCGGCTCCCGCGCCCGGCGACCGGAGGGCAAAGGCGCCGGGTGCGCGTTCCGGGCGCGGTGCCCGCGGCCGCCCGGGGCGGCGGGGCCGGGCCGCGCCTTCGCCCTTGGTCCGCGCCCTGGCGAGCCTCATGCAGCCCCCGCGCTCGCGGCCGCAGCCGCCCGGCTGCCCCGGGCAGGTGCAGCAGGACCCGAGGCGCGCTCCCCAGCGCCTGAGCGCCTGAGCGCCTGAGCGCAGGCGGCGGGATGCCCTGCTTGGCCTGAGAGCGCGCGCCGCGCCCGGGCGGGAGCGGGGAGCCGGCCAAGCCGGGCGCCCCCCGGGAGCGCAGGGCGCCCCACGCCGCAGCCGGAGCCCCGCGCGCCAGCTCCCGCCTCCCCGCTCGGCTCGCAGGCCCCGGCGCTGCCAGCCCGGGAGTGCCGGAGCGCCGCGGGGCCGCCAGCCAGCCGCACGCCTCGGCGTCAGGGGTATGGAGGAGCGGCGGGCTCGGAGCCGCGCCCCGGAGTCCTCGAAACTTCCGAGCCGGCGCCAGTCCGAGCCGCTGCCCCCGCCGCTTCGCCTGCCGGCCTGAGAGCGGGACCATGGATGAAAGGTTCAACAAGTGGCTGCTGACGCCCGTGCTCACTCTCCTCTTCGTGGTCATCATGTACCAGTACGTGTCCCCCTCCTGCACCAGCTCCTGCGCCAACTTCGGGGAGCAGCCCCGCGCAGGGGAGGCCGGCCAGCCGGCCGCCCCGAGTCCCGCCCGCCGGGCACAGACGCCGCCCGAGGAGTGGGAGCGGCGGCCCCAGTTGCCCCCGCCACCCCGGGGGCCGCCCGAGGGGCCTCGGGGGGCAGTGGCGCCAGAGGACGAGGACGAGGAGCTCGGGGAGGCGGAGGAGGAAGAAGAGGAGGAGGAAGAGGAGCCGGACCCTGAGGCCCCCGAGAACGGCTCCCTGCCCCGGTTCGTGCCGCGCTTTAACTTCACCCTGAAGGACCTGACCCGCTTCGTGGATTTCAATATCAAAGGGCGCGACGTGATCGTGTTCCTGCACATCCAGAAGACCGGGGGCACCACGTTCGGCCGGCACCTGGTGAAGAACATCCGGCTGGAGCAGCCGTGTAGCTGCAAAGCGGGCCAGAAGAAGTGCATCTGCCACCGGCCGGGCAAGAAGGAGACGTGGCTTTTCTCCCGCTTCTCCACCGGCTGGAGCTGCGGGCTGCACGCCGACTGGACGGAGCTCACCAACTGCGTGCCGGCCATCATGGAGAAGAAGGACTGTCCCCGCAACCACAGCCACACCAGGTACTGTCTCCGGCCCCCTCTGGCTTCCCGTCACCACCTGGGTCCCGACCCTGGGCCGCTCTGCGCAACCTGAGCGTGTTGGTGGTTTCCCTAGCGTCTTTCAGCGGTTGGGGCAGGGGCTTTCGGAGTGGGGTCGGAAACCTCTGGATGGTGACCCTGGTCTTGGACTCATTCCGTCCCTCCTTCCTCCCCTCCCTTCTTCCCGCCGCTTCCCGATATCCCCTTTCACCTTCAAAGACGTCCCGACTAGTAGTAGTGTGTGTTCTTCCTCGTGCCCGGGGCTGCGTGGCCTCCCTCCCACCGTGCAATGGAGAGGAGGCCTGGGTTAGACTCGCGAGGTCGGATCTTGTACCTAAATTGTGTGAGTGGAAACCCAGACCCCGTAAAAGGCAGGAGGAACTGGGCATAGAGAGGCAGGACGGGCGTTTTCCAGGCACACTGAAGCCAGAGACGAGTCTAATCCCTCTTCAAGCGGCTCTAGGGTGGCTTCTCGCCCGCTCAGGAAACAATCCTCTTGTTGTGTCTTTGAAGACACACTTTCAAATTCCTGCCGTACCTCGATAACCCTAATTCTGGAGATGGTCTTTGTTGCTGGGCAATGCCAGGATTTAGACTCATGCTGTTCGCAGCAAGATTTCCACTCTCCGCCAGACCAATCAGCACATTTCAGAGGTACTTGTTAAATGCCTACTGTGTGCCTAGCAACGTGCTACGTGGACACAAAGATAAAATAAGTAAAATCCCTATCAGGATAGGTGCCCCCCCCACTTTTAAATAGTAATACTGCTGAAAATTAAGAAAGTTTGAAATCTTAATAGCCAATGAAACTGCTTACATTATTAATATCCTTTTCTCCCCTTCCACTTCTAAATAGTAATACTGCTGAGAATTAGGAAAGTTTGAAATCTTAATAGACAATGAAACTGCTTACATTATTAACATCCTTTGAGAGAGGCACGGGCTTAAGAATTTGGTTGAATGTTCTTTCTGCCCACTGCAATTTGAAGATTAATCTGACATGCTTGCTCAAGGGACTAAAATATTAAAAGCTTGGAACACCAGTTTATTGAAGTTTTTATCTCAGAGGTTTCAAACAATTTGGTGTAAGGAAATAGGAATTTAAAAACTCAAGCTCAATATGTTGGTATCAGATAGCTTTTGCGTTTGACATTATGGAAAAACTTCATTTACTGGAAACTACCCAGATCCTGAAATTCACCACTGAAGCATCTAATTCTACTTCATTTCTCCAAGAATGAGCAAAATTTCATTATGGGATTTTTTACTCTGGCAGTTTTTCAAATACTTTCTCTCCTCCCTGCTCCTTTCCCTGTTTAATGGAAATTGGTTAGAATAGGAAACTGGTTGGACATGGAATGAAGGCATTAAGCTCCTTCCTTAGCATATTTTAAGGACCTTTTACTTTTAAAAATTTCCAATCTTGCCCCTCTGTTTTAGCTTAAAACAGTTTTTCAATTAATTATTACTTTCAGACTTCCTAACAGACGGGACTATTATTTCAGTGAGAGACAATCTTTGCTGCATTTTACCCCAAATTGTACCCTTCGTATTTCAACTTTTAGGTATTAATTACTGACTGACCCCAAGGAGTTTGCTACTCTGATTCCCAGCTTCCATTTCAGTAAAACTAGAGACTTTGATTATCACAGAGAAACATCGAATGACTCCACCGTAGGGATGGGCATTTTATTCTACCAATATATATAAAAATCTCAGTAGGTGGATGAAGAGTTTTGGAGAAACTAGAGATTATGGAACCGGAAAATAATTAGATTTTTGCTTAGTGATGAAATGCTGCTTCTGCTAAAGACCCTACATGGATTAAGCAGTAAGGTCTCACTCCTATAGGAAACACTCAGTATCTCTCTACTCTGTGATGTAGGAAAATTCCACCTTGGCTATCTGAACATATGGTCTCTATAGCACAGTCAAATGCTTTTCTCTGTTTAGTGATGGACCATGAACATTTATTTCTCTCTGAGTCACCAGTTATCAGATAATCACCCTTCACTGGGTTGCTTTTTAAAAAAATTTTTAAATTAAAATTATATATAATATATATATAATATATATTATATATATATTATATGATGTGGTTGATTACCACATTATAATTTCTTTTCCTTTTCTTCTTCACCTTATCTCCCCCTTCTTGGTATCCTAAATTACTTCTTTGGCTTTAGATGTCGTAGGAAGGAATTGTGGGTTATGTGACACACCCTACATCGAAAGTTATAGGGAAAAAGTTGAAGGAATGTCCAGTAGCATCTTCCTCACAGAGAAGATTGAATTAGTGGTCTGTCATTGGAATGCCTGTGTACAGCATTCTACAGTCAACCAGATTAGCCTGGATAATGGAGGGTACATTTCCACAATGCAAAATGGCAGATAATCTATTGCTACATAATGGGAACAAGGTTCTTCAAATAGGGCTGACTCTAAGCAAAATGGAGAAGTAGATCATGTTGATTTTAGTTCCCTAGTCTCTTTGCTTTGGGTCCCCTTGAGGGTCCCCTCTCCCCATTTCTCACAGGGATTAATGCCTTTTTAAGTCATGTATTGAGCAAGAGCAAGGATTCTGGATTCGGATGGCTACGGCTCTTGTGTGTAACCGAGAGTGGCCCTTACTAGCTGTGTATCTTACTCCTTCTGAACCTCAGATTCTTTATCTTTAAAGCCTACGTAGTACTTCTCTTACAGAGGTGTTGTGAGAACTGAATGAACAAAGGTGAGCAAAATGCTTAGCGCAGTTGTCTACGTATAGCGTAACGTGCTGGTACGCAGTACTTAGATGCAGACATATAATGATAGTTAACATTAGTTGTTAATCGTAATAATACTTTTCCCGAGTCAAGGCCTTCTTTCATGAAAGCATCTGAGGTCAGTGCCTTAGAACAGCTCACTGTAAGTGGGTCACCTGATTGTACAGAGATGCTATTTTCTGATTACTTGTATTGAGACAGAAACCAAACTTCAGGAATAAATGGAAAATTATGGACATTTGAGCATGAGTCAATGCAGGGGACATGACGGGAAACAGGGACACAATATAATTGGGTATATATTCTGTTGGTGATGAAACAAACAAGCAAACAAAACCCAACCTGTCTGGAACGGTGTGAGCAAGTGGGAATATCAAGGACCAAAGGCAGAAGTGGGAAGCCGACTCTGAAAGGAGATGCACAGTTTCAAGGAAGGAGCCATCATAGGGACGGTATGGACCCAGACAGGGACAAGGCTCTGGGGCTGGCAGTTTGGAACCAGCACAGAGGCCGTTTGTGACCACAGAGATTAGATTGGAAGGTGGCACATATGAATGATCTCTTCAATCCTCTCACTGCTGATGTCTTCTCATTATTTTCCTTTTGCTTCCCCCCTGCAACCATCTTTTTGGTAGGTTATTCTTTCTTGTTATTCTTGTGCTGCCTTCTTTATTCCTGCGTTTCCTTCTTCCATCTGCATGATCAAGTCTTTAGAAGACTATGCCTTACGATTGTTGAGTATGGAAAGGATAACAGCATTTCACGGCTAAAAAAGACCGAAGGGGTGATCATGCCCTATAATACGTGTGGCGAATGGGCAATTTAATTCTAAGGAGGTGAAGTGATGTATCTAAGGTTTCTTTAGGGAACTTAAATCTTCATTCTAATAAGTTATGGTTGATGTTTTGCCTGTTGTTTTCTTCTGTTTGCTGTGGAAAATAAAGTGGAGAGTGTTTTTAAGCACTTATTATGTGCCAGGTGCTGTGATAGTTCTGGCAATATAGTTTTGAATAGTGTCAATCCTATGAAGCTTAGGCTATTAGGAAAGAAAGACCTTGATCTTCTTTGGTAGGTGAGTAGGACCCTCATTCTTAAATAATGGTAGAAAGAGATTCTTTTATTTTTTCTTTCTTTCTTTTTTTTTTTTTTAAGGTTTATTTATTTTAGAGAGTGAGAAAGAGAGAGTGAGAGTGTGTCTGTGGGGAGGGGCAGAAGGAGAGAATTTCTAGTACACTCCAAGCTGAATGCGGAGCCCCAGGCAGGGCTCGATCCCATGACCCATGAGATCATGACCTGAGCCAAAACCAAGAGTTGGCCACTTAACCAACTAAGCCACCCAGGTGCCGCATTGCTGGAAGGAGGTTCCATTCATACCTCTTGTAGGGTGGGGTAGTGATTTTTCCCTTTTATGACCTGCTTTCTGTTTGTTCTTTTAGACTAGTTGGAATCTTATGAATATTGTAGTAGGTAGGGCCTTCTGTATTACAAATGATACAAAATTAACTCAGCTCAGCCAAGGGGGAATTATTGGCTTCATAACCAGACCATAGGAAACACAGGAGTAGAATTGGTTCTAAGAATGGCTGGAACTGGAGGTCTGGGGTCTTTCTCCCTATACTCCTTTGGGTATTGAACTCATCAGATTGGCTAATTCCATGAATTGGGTAAATGGCTATCATATCTAACAGCTCCACAGGCCAAGGGCATAGCAAGCTTCCTCCATGTTCCAATTTAAAATCCTGGGGAATGACTGATTAGTCCAGCTGGGAACTTGTGACTGTCTTTTCTGTCAGTCCATGTGGGTAGGGCGAGGAGGTTTTCAGACCCATCTGGTATCACAGTACCATAGTGAGACTGGGGTGTGTATGTGTGTGTATGTGTGTGATGATAAGAAGGGGACCTCACACAGATACAGCTCCCACAAAGACCATGGGGTTCTGGATAGTCTTTCCAATTGTGTCAATTACAGGTGTAAGTGAACAAAAAAGAAACAAACTTTTAGATCTCCCTTTTGTGTTCTTGTATGTAGGAACATTTTTAAGTCAAGCTATAGCCTCAGTTTACTTGAAACAGCTGGAAACCATGTCATATGAGGAATAATTTGAAGGAACTGGAAGTACTTAATATGGAGATGGAAAAATTAAGGAGAGATGCAAAAATTGCCTTCTAATAGTCAGAGGAGGAAGGTGTGGAAAATGGAGGAAGCTTTCTCTGTAT